TCATCCTGAATATTTTTTTGACTGTTCCAGTGCCGGGCAAGAGCCCCCAGAGGCCGAAAATAACGAATAACCTCCCGTCGTGATTTTTTCACAGCGCGAGGGGGCCTGGGTAACTCGAAGCCTCGAACCTTCGACGCGTCCCCGCAGGCGCCCCCCCCCCCCCAAGGCCGGTGCACAGCAGCACGTCCGTGGGCGTCAGCGCCGCGGCCCGCAGCCGCACCAGCACCTCGCCGTCCGACGGGGCACGGTGGGGCAGCTGCACCACCTGGCGGCCCCCCCCCCTCGGTGCCACGGCGCGGAGGGGCCCCGGGGCCGGGCGGAGGATGGCGGCGGAGGCCCGGACCCCTGGCGCCGTGCACGAAGATCACTACGGGAGGTCTATGTTCGGCCTCTGGGGGCCCTTGCCGGGCCTCGGGGCCGTTCAGGAACGACAGAAAAACCGGTCCCGGGGAAAGGGGCCCAGACCTCTGGGGGTCGACGCTGCGAAGAAATCACGACGTCCGGGGTCTGGGGATGGAGGAGGGGCAAGAAGAAGACTCGGAGGAAAAAATGGTCTTGCGTATGGTCTCAGTCGACTCAAAGCTGAACCTCACACAATCGCAACCGTTTCGAGGAAGATACAAAGGATCAGGAAGAGGAGGAGGAGGAGGAGTAGGAGGAGGAGGAGGCAAAGCAAAAGTAGGGGGCAGCCAAGGATGACGGCCAGGAAGAGGAGGGGGAGGAGGAGGAGGAGAAGGAGGTGTTTTTTTTGTGCGTGTGGCTCCGCTTCTCTCCCTCCTTCCTTCTGGCTGCTGCCCGCGTGTGCTCTCGCGCTGGCTCCCTCCCCGCGTTTGGCCCCTCCTCTCGTCCCGCCTCTCCCCTGCCCTTCGCCTTTCCTCTCGTCTCGCGCCTTCGCTGGGGGTCTGCGGTTCGCCCTCCCCTCCCCTCCCGGCCCTGGCCTCGGCCTCACCGGGCGCCGGCCCTCACCTTGCCAACTCGCTTCAGGCTCAGACCTGCTAGTCGCCGCGCGACAGCCCGCGAAGGCAAAAAAGAGGAGGAGGTGGAGTGAGGAGGAGGAGGAAGAGGAGGGGGAGGAGAAGAAGAAGAAGAAGAAGAAGAAGAAGGAAGAGGAGGAGGAAGAGGAGGCGGAGGAGGCGGAGGAGGAGGAGCAGGAGGAGGAGGAGGAGGAGAAGGAGGAGTAGGAAAAAGGAAGAGGAAGGGGAGGCGGAGGAAGCGGAGGAGGAGGAGGAGGCCTCCCGCTCGCTTCGCTCGGCGCTGCCCTCGGGCAGGGGGCCGCCCGCCGCGCGCACGGGCGGCGCGCGCTGCCGCCGCGCTCGCTCCCTGGAGGGCCCCCCCGCCTCGTGCCGAAGCACTCGGCAGCGGCGGCGCCCCTCGCCATCGCTCGGACGTCCATTCCTCGTGCATTTTTCGGCTTCGTGCGTGTATTTTTCGCAAGATGTCCCAGAATGCTCCTCGATGGTTCTTGCCGAGAAAAATACATACGTCCGAGCGATGCCAAGGCCCTCCCCAGGACCACCTCCCCGAGACCACGGCCGGGCGGCGGCTCGAGGCACGGTTCAGGATCGTCAAGACGTAACAGTTAGGTCAACTCGTGGCGCTGAAGACCTGAGAATGGTGTTTTGGCACGCTTCCGAATGTTCACACAGTTGTCCCCCAAACGGGCAATTCCCTCGGTGGAAATGAACCCTTGTAGGGGCCTACGAAGAGGGAGCTTGGAGGGAGGGTGTATTCCAACATCGTGAATGAGTCTTAGGTTTACACTGTCTCTCCTCTTTATGTGGTATCCCTCTCCTCCGCTGCTTCTTTCTCCCCCGCGTGTTCCCCGAAGGGTTTCCATAACGGCTCGGGGAACACGTGGTCCGACAACTAAGCAGAACTCTGGCTTCAACGCTCAGCCACATGGGCGAGTCCAACAAGCGGGGGGCGGCGATGATGCGCCGTAGACTTCTTCGATCAGTTCTTAAGTGCTGCCGACTTTGAATGTGCCGCGCACATTACACCAGACAGGCGCGTTCCACTGCCCGCAAAGCAACTACGCGCAAATGCCCTGGATCCGACGCGGGGGATTTGCGATACACTATACTTCGAGGCACACATGTAGCTTTTGGGGAACGAACAATGACAAGAACATAAAAAACTAGAGGTCCGCGCAGATTTCTCGAATCGGCGCTGGACCCCCTCCTTGGCGTGCGGAGCGTGCCAGGGGCGGCGCCGGAAGCGCCGCCAGGGGGGTTCAGCGCCGATCCGAGAAATCCGCGCGGAGCTCAGAGTTTTTATGCTTATGTCAGTGTTAGTTCTCCTAGTCTTGTCAGACATTTGCTAGTAAACTTAGGTCGGGCATGTCCTCCTACAGGCTCATTTTGGACGAAAAACGGGAAAATGTCAAAACATGTTCAAAACTAGTCAGACATTGTAGAAGCATCGTCCCCGGACCATTTTGTACGGTCTTTGAACATACCTCGCACGCCCGACTAAAGAGGAGACGCGCTCGGTGATACACGACATGCTCCCCTGCCCCGCGGCTCTGCCCACCAATCCCCCCCCCGCCCCGCCGACGTGCCGGGGGGCGACCCGCGCCGCACCAGCAGCGCGCGCACGCTGCCCTCCTCCGCCTGGGCGCCGATGCCGAGAGTCCCAGACTTCTCCGGCGGAGGGGCGACTGCAATCCCCGCGGTCGTGAAGAAATCAGGAGGAGGAGGAGGAGGAGGAGGAGGAGGAGGAGGAGGACGAGGGGGAGGAGGGGAAGGAGGAGGAGAGGGAGGAGGAGGAGGAGGAGGAGGAGGAGGAGGAGGAGGAGGAGGAGGAGGAGGAGGAGGAGGAGGAGGAGGAGGGGGAGGAAGGGGAGGAGGGGGAGGAGGAGGAGGAGGAGGAGGAGGAGGAGGAGGAGGGAGGAGGAGCAGTGTAAGCAGGAGGGGGTGGAGGAGGGGGGGGGCCTCCCCAGACACCCTCATGTCGTGAAGCAATCACGACGGAGGGTTGTCTGCTATTTGCGGCCTCTGGGGGGCCTCGCCCGGCTCCAGGGCCGTCAAAAAACTACTCAGGATGCAACGTCGGGACTCCCGGATGGGAGCCCGTATATAAGAAACAATACATCAGATCTCTGGGTCTTTGGCGGATGGACGACTTCAATCCCGGCGGTTTGAGGGGGGACCTCCCGGGGTAGAATTTTGGGCCCCTTGGGGCCACCAAAGTCCAGAATGATTCCTGGGGCAAGGCGTCGGAAGCTCTGGGGCCACGGATTGAAACAATACATCGCCGGATGTCTGGGATCGTCGTCATCGTCACCGCCGCCGCAGCCGCCGCCGCCGTCGTGGTCGTCAACACCGTCGTGTCGTCGCTGGAGAGAAACGAGCGGGGAGGAGGAACGGGGGGCTCATCCTCCTCCACCGAACTCCTCCTCGTACTCGTTCTTCTCACTCCTCCTCCCCCTCCTCCCCGTCTTCCTTCTCCCCCTCCTTTTCCCTCGCCATCGCTCGTCCACGCACGCCAGAGACATTCGCGCAGACACGCTACACCCTGTGAGTTTCTCTGGCATGACCGCTAGCCAGACAAGAACGCCAGACAGAGGAAAAGACAGAACCGGCTTGAAAAAGACCATGAGCAGCTCCACATAACTCGACCGCCAAAACCATGCCATCACCAGGAACGTCAATCCATGACGCCATGCCTGGTTAACTCACACCCGTCCAACCGCGAACACGCAGGCCTGCCTCGTCGCCAAGGGGGGAAGGAGACAACAACAGGCAGGGCGTGCCACCAGACGACCCCGCGTGCGGCTTGGCTTTCCGTGCGCACTGCTTCCCCGAAGAGGGCCCGGGACGCTCCCGGATGCCCGAGCTGTTCCGGCGCTGGCCTCGCCGAGACAACCGCACACGCCCGGGCGTCGCCGGGAAGCGGAGAGACACCTCAGGGCCCCTTCCTCCATACTGGCGGGATCTGGAAACCCAAGAACCCCACCCCCCAAAAAAGAGCATACAAACAAAACACTGGCTTAGAACAAACGTATCTTTATATAGAGTTATATACATACATACATACATACATACATACATACATACATACATGCATGCATGCATGCATACATACATACATACATACATACATACATACATACATACATACATACATACATACATACACACATCTGTCTTAAAAGGAACAAAACAAACAACACAAGAAACGGCCTCCAGATGGCAGCCATCGTTTCCGCCGCCTTCCGCCGGCGAGGCCGCCCGAGGCCTGCCTCCGCCTCCCCCCTGCCCGCCCTCCGCCGCCCTCCGCCGAAGGACGGGCGCGAGAGGCGCCGGCTGCTCGTGGATCCCGTGACGGCGAGGCCCCTTCTTTCAAGGGGGCCCTGGGACACACAAACAAATGCCCACAAATAAGAGGATTCCCCATCTTTTCCCAGATGTTCTGGGTTTTTGTCTTCCCCCCCACTTATTTTCTGGGTTGCTCGTCGATCCCGTGACGGCGAGGCCTCTTCGTGTTGGAAGCTGGGCGAGGGCTGGCAAATCCGTGGCTTCTTCCCGGAATCAAGCTCAGCGCACTATAACAAGTAAACGGGCTACTTCCCGGAAGAAAAAAACAAAATCCCGGAGCTCCGTTTTAGCACGGATTTGCCAGTCCCCTTCGGACCCGGATGCGTGGGCGACGTCACCGATGCATCCGCGACGTCGGCGGCGCATCGGCGGCGTCGCGGTGGAGAAAATCGGGGTCCACGTCGCCGATGCATCGCCGATGTGGCGCGATCCACCGACCCCGAGATACCTCGACCCTATTTGGGAGGCCTGGACTTCATGAGCGAGGAGCAGACACGGGTCTCATGCGAGATGGCCTGGGGACCTTGCGCGGTGGCCTGCGCGGGCCGCCAACGCGGCACGTCACGTTGGAAACGAGGGCGTTCACGCGCGACCGTACGCGGGCAGCTTACGCGCGAATGTCGGCGCAGTCGAACCCGTCTTTCTGCGCCGCTCTGTTGACGATCCCCCCCCCCTCCCTTTTCCCCCGCCGGGTCCCAGCCGGGCCGCAGTGGGCGCGGCCGCGCGCGCGCGTCTGCATACGCGATGCGCAGCCGCACGCCCGGGCACAGCCGGGCGAACTGCGCGAGGACGCCCAGGCAGGAGACGCCCGGGAGGGGGGAAGGTCGGCACCGCCACCACACGACGCCACGAGAGTCTGTACACAAACACCCGCCGACGAGGCTGCCCGGTGCCTTCAGGGAGAGCGGCTGGGCAGAATGTCGCCCCCAGCGGTGATCTATACACCGCCACCGTCCCCTGAGGCCCAGGAGCAATCCACAGGGGGGGCTGCTTGTATACAAACATACAGGCGTCAGCCAGCGCGGGCCCCAAGCTGCGTGTTTCTAGCCATCTACATTGTGTACTACACGCGGGGCGCTACACGTGGTGCATTCGACGCGGCGCAACTTATGCCATCCATGGTGTGCGAGCTACGTAGTGCACTCTATGTCGTGCAAGTAAGGTCTGTTCGCAGTGAGTTGTCCGTTCCACTGCTCGCGCAATCATCCCACCCCCCTGCCCGCAACTTGGTTTGAAAAACCCATGCGGCGGCGATTGCGAAAATTGTTTGGAGTTGGCTGGTGCATTCCTGCGGCCGTGCTGACGCGTGCATGCTCGCGCGCGCAGCGGCCGGCGAGTTTGGCACGGCGACGCGGACGCAGTAGCGCTGACCGCAAAGTATTTCCCGGCGGGCATTTCAGTGCGACTCGGCGAATTGGGCGGGCGCAGTATCGTGGCAACGTCGACAGCGGTAGACGCGATGAGGATGGTAGCGATGCTGGTGACGATGATGACAACGACGACGGCAAGGCCACTGACGGCGCCGATGCTGATCACGCCGGCGACGATGACGGCGTCCCCACGTCGGTGATAGAGGTTTGGGAGGGAGTTCGACATGCGCGCACGGCCGACGCGCGAGAGTGGCCCGCATGGTATTATTTGACACGGATCGCGACCCTCGCGGACCGCGCGCAAAGGCGTTCGAATGATTTCGACGTGCGGCTCGAGGGACCCGTTTGGCCGAATGTCTTGAAATTGTTGAAAAATAAAAATGGCTTCCTGAGGAATTCGCAGGAGCGCGAGCGCAGGCATTCTTGAAAATTGATGTTGCGAAACCATGTGTGTATATGTTTACGGCGCCCGCGATTTTGGAATCCTTGAGAGACCTAAGAAATGTTTGAAACGATTGCCGCATGCGCGCGCGACGACGTGCGCGCGTGCACTTCGCCCCATTTGTTGCAAGGGGTTCTTGCGACAGCACGCGCGCAAGGGCGTTCGAGCGATTCAAATATGCGCGTGCGTGAGCCCGCTCGGTGGCAAGCCATGCATAGGTTGAGCAAAACTATGATTTTCTGAAAATAGTAATTCGCGTGAGCCCGATCACAAGCTGCTTGTAACATTTCTCGCAAAACCATTTGGTTTGATGTGATTTCTGGACGCTCGATTCTGAAAACCTTGCGACACCCAGATTTGTTGCAGGATTCTGGCATGCGCGCACGACGACGCGCGCGCGCGATTCGACCCAACTTTTGCAGTACACGTTTGGCAACTCTTTCTTTCGGTCGACGAGCGCGCGCGCGCATAGAATTTGCTCCAGAGGATGAGAGATGGGGGGCCGTTATCGGCTTGGCGGGGACGGTACGACTTCATGGTTGGGGTGGGCGACGGGGCAGAATCATATGAAAATTGCAATACGAAACGGGCGGCGGCTGAATCCGGGGGTGGGGAAGGGGAGACCCGAATGTTTTCTTAAAACAACGAATTAGGAATTCGCAGTTCTCAACTCCACTGCTCGCGCAATCATCTCACCCACCCACCCGCAATTTGTTTTGCAAAACACATGCCGGCGATTGCGATGAGTGCTTGGCGTTGGCTGGTGCACCTCTGCGGCCGCGCTAGCGCACGCATGCTAGCGCGAGCAGCGGCCAGCTAGCTTGGCGCGACCGACGCGGTGCTGGTGACGATGATGATAATGGCGACGGCACAGCAATTGACGGCGCCAATGCTGATCACGCCGACGACGATGACGACGTCCTCGCGTCGGTGATGAACATCTTGATGGACGTCGACACGCGCACGCGGCCGACGCGCGAAAGTGGCCCGCATGGTAGCATTCGACACGGATCGTGCCCCCCGCAGACCGCGCGCAAGGGCGTTTGAATGATGCCGGCATGCGGCGCGACAGGTCCGCTTGGCAAAATGTCTTGAAAATGATGGAAAACCAACAGGTGCGCGATCGCATTTGTTTGTTGGTCAATGACGTTGCGGAATGTCGGGGCACTAGATTTTGAATCCCTTGCGAAATCTCAAGTGTTTAGATTATTCTGGCACGTGCGCGCGACGACGTGCGTGCGTGCACTTCGCTCCATACGCTGCAACGGGTTCTTGCGACAGCACTTGACAAAGGGCGCTCGAACGATTTCAACACGCGCGCGTGAGAGGCCCACTTGGAAGCAACTTGCAAAATTGCTGGAAAGCCGCTGGTTCTCTTGCGAATGCGCAAAAGCGCGTGCGCAAATTTTGTACTAGAATTAGGTCCGGCAGTTGCGACTACAGGAGGTCCACGACCACTTCGGGCCAAAAAACCCAAACCAGAAAAAAACATCAGGAAATCTTGAAACCAAAACCTGGGAAGGTCGACATCCTGGAAAAAACTCAAACACCAAACCTGCGAAAAACTCAAACCCACAAAACACTTTAAACAAAACGTGAGATTTAAACCTGGGAGCGACTCAAACCAAACAAAAACTCCAGATAATCTCTAAACCGAAACTTGGTAAGAACTTTGGAAAAACGTTCGGACAACTCGGGAAACAACTCTGGAAAAACTCTGAAAAAAAACTCCAAACAAAAACTCTAAGAAAACTCTGTGAAAAAAACTGTGGAGAAAAATCGAAACGACTGAAAATGTTAAAATCACTCTGGAAACTTTTTTTTGTAACAAAAAAAAAAAAAAAAAAAACGAAACGATTGAAAAACTATTGAAAAATGTTTTGCCTGAAAAACTCAGAAAAAACAACTCGTAAAGCCATATGGAAAATATAACAAAAAAAACAAAAAAAAAATAAAGCAAACAAAACAAAACCAAACAACAACTCTGGGGAAAAAACAACCTTCCGGGTTTGAGATTTTGTTTTCCAGGTTTGACCTTCACGCTTTTTCTAGGTTTTCTGTGGGTTTGAGTTTTTCCAGGTTTCGGATTCAAGATGTTATGTAGTTTCTTCTGTGTTTGACTTGTCCCCAGGTTTTGTGTTTGAGATTGTCTAAAATTGTCTTGGATTTTGAATTTCCCATTCAAGATGTTTTGATTTGTTTTTGGAGTTTGAGTTCCCGGCCAAAGATTGTTTGAAGATTTCGGCAGGTTTTCCGATGAACCGCCTGTAGTCAATTGCCAAACCTAATACTAGAAATTATTGATGCGAAGCCATGTGAGTTTACATGTGTTCGGGACACTCGCTTTTGAAACCCTTACGAAACCTGAAATTCGTGAAGGATTTCGGCTTGCGCGCGCGACGACGCGCGCGTGACTTCGTCCCATCTGTTGCCAAGGGGTTCTTGAACGTTTATGATTTGTGATACACGAGCGTGCGCGCATAATTGTTCCATGGGGCGAGGCGGGGGGCCGTCATCGGCCTGACCGGGATGGCACGAACTCATGTTTAGGATGGACCGTGGGGCAGAGCCACACGTAAATTGCAATACGAAGCAGTGGCCCGTGAAGTCCTGGGAGGGGAGGTAGATCCTGAGAACTGTTCTAGAAGGAACTAGTTATTGCTCGCAGTGGGCTGCCCAGTCTACTGCTCGCGCCATCATCCCACCCGCCCACCCGCAACTTGTTATGCAAAACATATGCGGCGGGGCTTGCGGTGGGTGCTGGGCTTGGCTGGTGCACCTCTGCGGCCGCGCTAAGGCGCGCGTGCTCGCGCGCGCAGTTGCCAGATAGTATGGCGCGACCGACGCGGCCGCGGCGGCGCTTAACTCTGGGCACCTCCCAGCTGGCACCTCAGTGCGAGTCGGCGACAGGGCGGGCGCGGCATCATGGCATCGCCGACAAAGGTAGACGCGATGATGATGGCAGCGATGCAGGTGACGAGTTGACAACGACGACGGCAAGCCCACCCATCCACTCGCAACTTGGTTTTCAAAACCCATGCGGCGGCGATTGCGATGACTGGTTTGTGCTGGCTGGCGCCTCGCTGCGGCCGCGCACGCAGGCTCCCGCGCAGAGCGGCCAGCTGGTCTGGCGCGACCAACGCGACCGCGGTGACGCTGACCGCTGGGGACTTCCCAGCGAGTCTCGCAGGCCGCGCTGACGCGCGGGCACTGTAGTGCGAGTCGGTGGCCCGGGCGGGTGCGGTATCATGGAAACGTCGACAACGGCAGGCACGATGATGAGTGTAGCGATGCTTGTGACGACGATGGCGATGACGACGGCAAGGCCACTGACGGCGCCGATGAAAACCACGCCGATGGCGATCATGGTGTCCACGCGTCGGTGGTGAAGGTTACGAAGTGGATTTCGATATGCGTACGCGGCCGACGGGCGCGAGTGGCCCGAATGGTGCTACATTCAAAAGATCGCGCGTAATCCCCAGCACGCGAGCAAGGGCGTTCGAATGATTTCGACAATTGCGCGCGAGATGCACGTTTGGTACAATGCGATGAGATGAAAATGCTGAACGCCATGATGCCCTTACGACTTCGAACGAGCGCGCACAGACTTTCGTTGAAGAATCACGTTGCAAAACAATGTGTGATTTTATGTATGAAACCCGTGCGAAACCTTAAGCTTTCGAAAGATTTCGACATGCGCACGACGACGCACTCATGTGCACTCCGCCAGTGTGTTTGCAAGGGTGCATTGAATACTTGTGTTTGTTGTTAAGAGAGTGCACGCTCATATTGCCTATGGCAAAAGATGGGGCGCGGTCGATACCAGCTGGTCTTGGATCGTACCATCTCATGTTTGACTGATGGGGCGGAGTCACAGATAAACTGCACATCCTCAAGGTGGACGGTTAACCTCCGCCTCGAGAAGGTGGTGGACTTTCTGGAAGGAGGCTCTACGGGCGGCGACGAGGCGGCGACGGGGTGGCGACGGGGCGGCGACGGGGCGGCGACAGGGCGGCGACGGCGGCAACATAGCCGCCAGACCGGCAGCCAGGCCCAAATCACGGGCGGCAACGGGGCAGCGACAGGGCGGCGACGACGACGACGACATAGCAGTCAGACCGACCCCCCAGGCCCGCGACGACAGGGTGGCGACGGTGACTACACAGCCGCCAGACCGACCCCCACACCCACTGCCTCAGAAAAGAAGGAAGAACCCCTAAGTGCAAGCACTGTTTGGGTAGTGAGTATATATATATATATATACAGAGAAATAGGGAGAAAGAGATAGAGGTGTAAAACAGAGAGAGGGAGAGAGGACAACCCCCGTACTGGGCTGGGGGGGGGCTCCCTCCATTGATGTTGTCTGCGTTCATGGTCCTGGCTGGGCCTCCATGGGGCGCCCTCGTCGCCACCGCTGGGATTCACCTCGGGACTCTGGCCCAGCAGCGCACTCCCGCACACGTCAAGAGGTCGATGCATGACTCCGGGGCCTAGGCCCCGTCGTTCCGGATCAAGCACAACGAAAACTGTGAGACGTGTTTCGCCCTTCGGGGGACCTCACCAAGGCCGGCTGAATACTCGGGGTGAAAAACGTGCCCCAATGAGGCAGAAGGGCCACCACCGTCGCAGGGAGGCGGGCAGGGTCCTCGTGGTGGCGTGGCGAAACTGCTTGCTCGGCGTCCCGCTCAAGACGTTTCCAATCCCACCAGCCCTCTGGGCTGAGATGGGTTCGGGCGTCCCCTCTTCCGTCCTGCCCCCTTCTTCCCCTTCGCGAGGGGGTAGACTACTGCTCCCTATTAATACCCCCCACACGACCGGAAACCAACCAGGACCATGAGCCCCCACACCGTCCCTGTCGAAAAGACAAGCCAACATACGCTTTGGCTTCGAACCTGGAGCATGCGCGGGCGCCCCGCGATCGCTCTGCAGTAGTTTTTGACAAGAGATGGTCGGGGGTTCTGGCATATCACCAGCCTCGTGCCATGCCAGCACCCCCGACCTTCCCTGTTTAAACACACACACACACACGAAGGTGCACTTCGCGGCAAAAATCTTGGGTCATGCTCGGGGGGGCCCGCGAGCATTTCGCATTGCTTGTTGACCGGGACGGCGGGGGTGCCAGCATGTGGCCTGCTGCGCGCAGGGCCACCATGCCTGCAACAAAGACCGGACAAACGGCACTTCGCGGCGCTACATCCGGATCACGCGCGGGCGTGTCCTGCTGCAGGCGGATTGGGGACGCAGAATTAAAGATAGCTACAACAAGCCCCAAACATCCCCCGAACAAACGCCTAAAACATCGTCCCCCTACTATTTTTGGGGGGGCTATTTTTGAACACTCCTCCTGTCGAGGGACATGCCCGACTTGCTGCAAAGGGACGCCGAAGCGGGGCCGAGGGCGCTCCTTCCTGCTGCGGCGGGCCACGGCCGCGGGCAGGCTCCCCGACGCCCGGGGAGCCCCTCCAGGGAGCCCCTCCAGGAGCCCCCAGGGAGCGACGAGGGGGTCCTCCTCCTCCTCCTCCTCCTCCTCCTCCTCCTCCTCCTCCTCCTCCTCCTCCTCCTCCTCCTCCTCCTCCTCCTCCTCTTCCTCGTTCCCCCCTCCAACTTATGGTGGTGGTGGTGGAAAACAGGCCCAGCAGCTCCTCGGAGGTCAAATTCTGATCTTACCCTGGTCCGAAGTCGCGCGAGCGACGATCGGAGCCAGGGCTTACCCAGACCCCCTCGCGCTGTGGCAAAGAGTCACGACGGGAGGGTTCTTCCCTAGCTTCGGCCTCTGGGGGCCCTCACCGGGCCTCGGGGCCGTCAGAGAACGACTCGGGATGCGAAGCCAGGCCCGGGGGAAGGGGTCCGGACCTCTGGGGGTCGACGCTGTGACAAAAATCACGACGTCGGGGGTCTGGGCCACGCGAGATGGCACAGCGACCTGATGCGGCGGCCCACGCGGGCCGCCAGCACGGCACGCTGCGCCGGAAGCGAGGGCGCTCACGCGCGGCCTTCGCGAAGGGGCCCTGGGACACACAAAGAAATACACACAAACAAAAAGATTCCAAATATTTTCCTATATATTATGTGTCTTTGTCTTCCCCCCCCCACTTCCCATATTTTCCCATATTTTCTGGGGAATCGCCGATTCATCGTGTCTGTGTGTTTCTTTCCCTCCTGACTTCTGCGCGAACCGCTTGCGCGCGGGTGCTGGCGCAGTCGAAACCCCCTCGCTGCGTGCTGCGTCGCTCGAGCGGTCCTCCTTGGAGCGTCTTGGCTGTGTGCGTGTGCCGCCTTCCATCCTCCGAGATTCGGGGAAGCGTAAGACTCGGGTACGGGGGACTCGGGTTGGCCTGACGGGGGCCACCATAAAAATGACGAGACCCAATCTGAAATTTGACGCAGGCTCCCGCTGCAGACATCCCGCGAAAACGGGACCGTCCAAATCCAGGACGCACTCGTCAAAAAAAAATTACAAACCCGAGTTCCAGCTTACTCGAATCTTCCGATCCCCCGAGAGATGCAGGGGAAGTGCGTGACGTACAGCGCGAGGGCGCCCTCCGGCGCGAGGGGGCGCCCCGCGGCGGCGTCCAGCCACCTCTCGACAGCGACGAAGCCGCGAGCCGACCCGAGGACCGACAGCAGAAGACCAGTCGACAACAACAGCAACAGCAACAACAGCAGCAGCAGCAGCAACAGCTACAGCAACAGCAGCAACAACGACAACAACAACAACAAAAACAAAAACAGCAACGATCTTTCTAAGACTGTTCGCTCTTATTTGCCCGCGTGTCATTCAAAACGAGTTCCCCACACCCTCGATACCCGCCTATTGTCTTTCGATCACACCCCCTTTGGGGGGATTATTTCTCTTTGCGGGGGGCGGCGGGCTTAGACAGGCGGGCAAACCTCAACGGGCGGACAATCCTTCGTGGGCGTACATGTGCCCGCCATTGGAATTGGTGTGGGCCCTGCGAAAAGAGGAGGGGGAAAACAAGGGAGAGTGGGAAGAAGGGAGGGGGAGGGACGAAGGAAGAGGGAAAACGCCAGGAGACAAGGAGCGAAGAGGGGGGCGGTTGATTAGAGGCAGAGAGAGAGAGGTCCTAGGCGAAAGCGCCTTTCCTAAAGGAAGGCTCGGGCGGGAGCCCACGACGGGCGGGCGATCCCCTGAAGGGCGGGTCGGGCGGGTGCGACATTCAAGCGGGATGCCTGAGTATGGCGAGAGCGCAATTACTGAGTAAATTGTGACGGCGTCCTTGGCGCAGCGTAATTACCAAGCGTCGAAAGCGCGATGTCTAAATAAATTGCATGGAAGTCACAGGCGAGAGCGCAATTCCTGAATAAAGTGTGAAGGGTTCTCTGGCGGGAGCGGGGGTCTTGATCAAATTGCGAAGAAGTCTTGATTCCATCGCGAGGGAGTCTCAAGCGGGAGCGCCATTCCTAAGTAAATTGTGAGGAGATCTCAGATGGGAGCGGGGGTCCTGACTAAATTGCGAGGAGGTCACAGGCGGGAGCACCGATCCTGAGTAGCGGGGTCCTGAGTAAATTGGGAGGAAGTCTCAGGCGGGAGCCGTTGTTGTTGCAATCCCGGGGGCCAGGGGCACAGTTTTGAGCACCAAGACTTTCCCTGAGGGGCACACTTTGATTCAGAAAAAACACTGTGCACCGGTGAGGGGGAACCAACAGTAATTACTCTTCAGAAGTGAGACTCCAACGACAGCAACTTCAACAACAGCAACAGCACCAACACCAGCAACAGCAGCAGCAGCAGTAACAACACCAACAGCAACAACAACAACAAAAACAACAGCGTCAGCAGCAGCAACAACAACAACAACGACAACGACAACACCAACAACAACACCAACAACACCAACAAAACCACCAGCACCAGCAACAGCAGCAGCAACAGCAACAGCAACAGCAGCGGCCACAGCAACAGCTTCCGAAGGCCCGTGCGCATCTCCCGGGCCGCCGGCACGGCCTCCCGCCCCCCCCTCCTGTCGCGAAGGGCGCCGCGCCTTCTGCCGTCCCTCGCCTCGCGCATGTCCCTGGGGGACCTGTGGAGTTACCTGGACTTGCCCGGATTGGCCTGGATTTACATCGGGCGTATCCCCCGACAGGCGGACTCTGGGTGAAAAATCAGAGACAACATCCAGGAACCATAAAAAAGCCCCCAAAGTATTCAAAACGAATACAGCGAATATGCGATAAAAAATGGCACCCGACAATTGTTTTACTAGTTCTAGATGTTCCTCCTGTAGAGGGGCACGCCCGACTCAAGCCTGGATGTACCTCGACGTATCTGCATCTGCCTTGGTTTCTCGGATCTGATCCCCACGAGTCGATCGACAAAACGTCGTCGAGCCCCTTTTATGGGTAACCAGTCTCGAACTGATATCCCCCACCCCCAAGATTGGCACGCCAAGAAGCGACGGTATTCGCGAAGATACATCCTCAGAGATTGAGGCAATCCTTCAGATCGGCAAAGATGCTCGTCAAATTGATAGGGGTGTGCTTCAGGATAGTCACTGAGAATCCCCACTGCGCGACCCCCTCCGAGGACCCTTGCCGCGCGGAAGCGGGCGCCCACCCGGAGAGCACGTCCACCAGCGCGCCGCGCTCCGCGTGGCCGCCGCGGTCGTGCTCGCCCACAGTGCGCGCGCCGTGGCGGCTTCTGGTCGCGAGGGGCCGCCAGGAGACCCCCATGGGGGGGGGCCCGTGCTCGGAGGGCGGCGGCGATGCTCACCCCTCGACCCCGTCGGCCCCTGCTGCCTCCTCGCTCCCTCCTCGATTGCCTGGTGACCCATGGCAAGCTCGGGCTCAGGGCTGGGCACCCCTCCTCGCACTGGGGGTTTGGCGTGCAGAATAAGATCGGGGGCGCGAAAACATGGATTAGCGATCCATGGATTTGGCGCGCGGTCGCCAAATTCAGGGGAGGCCCTCCCCAAAAGGCGGCCCGTGCCGCCCCGTTCGGCGGCGGAAATCCGCGATTTCCCATGGGAACGGGACCCGTCGCCAATCCACGCCCCCTTGGTCCATGTTTGCGATCGCCTGAAATAAAAGCGTTGCCAAGGGCTCACGGGGTGTGAGCCATTTCCCCCATCGCGTCGCGAGGACCGCCTCCATGCCCGATCCGACCGACCTCCTCGACCCCCCCGGGCCCGCCGATCCCCCGGCGCCCCCCTCGAGACCCCGGGTGCTCTACTCTCCCTCCTGCGAGCCTCGCGGGGGGGCTGCGCGGGAGAGGCCCCCCAGGGGCGAGACGGGGCCAGGACTACATCATAGAGGCCTCGGGCCTCCAGCGCAAAGGCTCTCTGCAAAGCGCTCGGCCCCCACACAGGGGGCCCTCGCCCCTGCCCCCAGGACTCCGGCAACCAACAACAAAAAAACGACAGGGGGGGCGCGAAGCACGCGTTTTGTCTTGATGTCTCGTTCTTTGCTCCGCGTGCTCCGCTTCTTGTTCCGCCTATTGAAACGACGTCATAGATTGTGTTGTCCTTTTGTTCCCCGTAAGTAGCAAAATTCTTCTTGCCCGGCCCTGGGGAAACGGGTCGGGCCCTCTGGGGCCCCCGCACTGCAAAACCAACCCGCCTGTCGGACCTCGAGAGGGGCCCTCGCCGGCCCCCGGGGCCGCCACCCAAAAAAAGCAAACACAACGGGGGGGGCGGAGCCTGGCCCTGGGGGCACGGGCCGGGCCCGCGGGGCGCCCCGCAGACTTGAAGACCAGCCCCTCGGATCTCTATTGGCGGCGAGCGGGGGGGGGGAAGGAGCCGGAGAGGGCCTTCCCAGAAGGCGGCGGGACTTCTCAGAAGCCGGCGAGCGAGGGGGGGAAGGAGCCGGAGAGGGCCTCAGAAAAAAAGAAAAAAAAAAAAAAAAAAAAACAAGAAAAAAAAAAAAAAAAAAAAAAAAAAACAAAAAAAAAAAAAAAAAGAAAAAAACAAGAAAAAAGAAAAAAAAAAAAAAAAAAAAAAAAAAAAAAAAAAAAAAAAAAAAAAGAAAAAAAAAAGAAAAAAGAAAAAAAAAAAGAAAAAAAAAAAAAAAACAAAAAAAAACAAAAAAAGGCGGCGGGACTTCTCAGAAGCCGGCGAGGGGAGGGGAAGGAGCCGGAGAGGGCCTTCCCAGAAGGCGGCGGGACTTCTCAGAAGCCCTCGGGCCTGCTGAGAAGTCTTCTGCGTCTCCGGAGAAGGCTGCAGAAACTTCTCAGACGGTCGGGGGGCTGCCGAGCCTTCTGAGCGGGCCAGCAACCCCTTCTCACTTCCCCCCCTCGCTCGCCGCCGACTCTGGGGGCCAAATCGGACCAGGATCATTAAGATCTTGTCGGCGCTTGACGCTTGGGCGCATGTCGGACGATCCGCAGAAATCTGCGAGAACCTGATGGCGTCTGGGAGAAGTCGGAAGAACCTGGAAGAATATGGGACAATTCGGAAGAATCACGAAGAATCTGGAAGAATCCATCATCACCACCACCACCACCACCACCACCACCACCACCATCATCATCATCATCATCATCATCATCATCATCATCATCATCATCATCATCATCATCATCATCAGCATCATCATCATCATCATCATCATCATCATCATCATCATCATCATCACCATCCTCATCATCCACCACCAACACCACCACCACCATCATCATCATCATCATCATCATCATCATCATCATCATCATCATCATCCACCCTCCTCCTCCTCCTGTTCCTCCTCCTCCTCCTCGTCCTCCTCCTTTTCCCCTTCCTCCTCCCCCTCCCCCTCCTCCCCCTTTTCCTCCTCCTCCTCCTTCTGCTCCTCCTCCTGCTCCTCCTCCTGCTGCTCCACCTCCTCCTCCTCCTCCTCTTGCTCCTGTTCCTCCTCCTCCCCCTCCTCGTCTTCGTCCTCCTCCTCCTCCTCCCCCCTTTTTCCTCCTCCTCCTCCTCCTTCTCCTCCTCCTCCTCCTCCTCCCCCCTTCTTCCTCCTCCTCCTCCTCCTCCTCCTCCTCCTTCTCCTCCTCCTCCCCCTCCTCCTCCTCGTCCTTGTCCTCCTCCTCATCCTTCTCCTCCTTTTCCTCCTCCTCCTCTTCCTCCTCCTCTAATGCGGACTATGATTAATCAAAAGACTAAGACTAATAATATGAGTACTACTAAGAACACGAATAATAAGAACAACAACCAGAATAAGAACACAAACGAAAAAATAAACAACAACACCTACCCATTGAGAATAAGGATGATAATGCGTAAAAGAACAACAACGCAAATCCGAAAGTCAATGCGAGTGAAACTAATAATGCCACGAATGAGAAAGCAGACTGCTAATAACTGCAAGGACAATGGCAAAAGCGATACGGGGAAAAAACATCGAAGAAGTACATTATATAAATATATATATTTTTTTAAACAAAAAAAAAAAAAAAAAAAAAAAAAAAAAAAAAAAAAAAAAAAAAAAAAAAAAAAAAAAAAACGGGAAATACGCAGAAGATTAGAGTGCGACGTACGAGACACATGTTGTCATGTATATGAATAGAAGAAGAAACAAACAAAACAATAATACGAAGAATAAGAATGCGACTGACAGTAGTAAAATCTAAGAATACAAATGCGAATAATGATAAATAATGGAAAATCGGAATGCGAATGGGAATAGGGTTGGGAGTTAGGACTATGAATGATAATGAGATTGGGTTGAATAGCGATACTGATGATACAAGTCAAATCCAGGGCATGAGATCCAAAGCATTGGATAAGAATTCAAATCCAGAATCAGATCCAAAGAATCAGATGCACAGAATCAGATCCAGGGGGCACAGATCCATAGCATCATGCCCAAAGAACCGCATCCTTATATATATATATATAGATATCTCACTATATAGAAATATTGCGTATGCAAACAGATATGTATATATATATATGTGTGTACACGTATAAACATATGGTCAAAGAGTTTTAAGCCGACCCGGGAAATGAGAAGCCACATCGAGGCAAACATCATTTGATGGTTGAAACTAAATTTGGGCAAACCTGTGTACGCTCATAGAAAACACACGTGTAACTACATTCATATACATTGGGTAACGTTTGAATACACTCAGGTAAAATCAAATGGAGCTGGACAAATTTAGCCAGGTCCATTGAATGAGAGGCGATCGTAAAACATCAAAAGTATAATCGAGCGAGATGAGGTGAGAAACCTTCACAGAAATTCCTAAAACATTAAGGGAAGCCCATATAACTGTAGATACGTTGTAGATAACGACAAGTCGGTCACATAGAACGCGAGATATTCTCTAAACTCAGATATAGTAATACAAATTTACACACAATTGAAAACATACAATATACATAATAACTTTGGATCGTGTTAAATCAAATTCAATGAGTTACAAAGAATGAGAGGCAATTGTAAAATAAAGTGTACGTCGGTGACAAATGCATAACTTCCGATAGATAACTAAAAGTCTGAATAAACTTGGAGGATGCGCCATAGGATGCGCCCTCGGCCACCGAACATAATGACAACGGAGAAAAAAAAACAAATCAAATGTGTGTTGGGGCTATGGGGCTGTAGGGCTATAAAGCTATAAGGCTATGAGGCTATAGGGTTATAGGGCTATTGGGCTATTGGGCCATAAGGCTATAGGGCTATAAGGCTGTAGAGCTATAGGGCTATAGTAGTAGGGCTATAAGCTTATGGGGCTATCGGGCTATAGGGCTACTATAAGGCTATTGCGCTATGGGGTTATAGGGCTATAGGGCTATGGGGTTATAAAACAATAGGGCTACAATTAGGGCTATTGGGCTATATGCTATTGGGCTATTGGGCACCCCGGGCACCCGAGCACCCGGGCACCCCGGGCACCGGGGCAACCGGGCACCCGGGCACCCGGGCACCCGGGCCCGGCCACCGAAATCGGCGACCAACCTCACCGGCCACCCAGGCACCGCCGGGCACCCGGGCACCCGGGCACCCGGGCCCGGCCACCGAAATTGGCCGCACCTCTCACCTAAGCCTTTAATCTGCTAGGACCCCTACTACAGAGGCAAGCTTTGATTGGGGAATTATCCCGGCAAAGCAACCTAATAATAACAGCGACGATGTGTAGGAGCATATCTGGAAGCATTCCCCTTAATATTCAGATGCGAATCCAGTTGTAGAATTCTGCTGTTCTCGCAGTCGTAGTCGCATTCGCGATGACAGTCGCAGCGGCAACGGCAGTCGCAGTCACAGCCTCAGCATCAGCCTGCCTCAACCTCAGCCTCCGCCTGCCTCAGCCTCAGCCTGCCACAGCCTCAGCCTCAGCCTGCTTCAGCCTCACTCAGCATCAGTCTACCTTCAGCCTCGGCCTCAGCCTCAGCCTGCCTCAGCGTCAGCCTGCATCAGCCTCAGCCTCAGCCTCAACTTGGCTCAGCATCCGCCTGCCTCAGCCTCAGCCTCAGCCTGCCTCTGCCTCAGCCTCAGCCTGCTTCAGCCTCCTCAGCCTCAGCCTGCCCTCGGCCTCGGCTTCAGCCTCAGCTTGTCTCAGCCTCAGCCTGCATCAGCCTCAGCCTCCGCCTCAGCCTCCTGCCTCAGCCTCAGCCTCAGCCTCAGCCTCAGCCCCAGCCCCAGCCTCAGCCTCAGCCTCAGCCTCAGCCTCAGCCTGCCTCAGCCTCAGCCTCAGCCTCAGCCTGCTTCAGCCTCAGCCTCAGCCTCAGCCTGCAGCCTCGGCCT